CATTTGCATGCTTTCGAACCGCTAGGTTGGCGGGAGTTAATTCTTCCTACATGATGAACAAGTCTTGCCCAGTTTCAATTGCTCTAGAGACTTTTTTTACACTCTATTTAATATTAGTTCCTTGGAAGAAGAATGCATCTGAATTTCCATTTTTTTTTCCTGTGGTAAACTGAGCCCTTCCACATTGAGAGAAATTATTTTCATAACATTCTTTTTCTGATATATTTTTAAAATACTAGAAATGTGAAAGAGGATAAGTAAGGAGCTCTTTATATATTTATTATCAATTTAATTTTTTAAATGTTGTGTTTGAGAATGAAAAATCCAATGGTCATCTAGCACTGAACACTTATATCAAGATCACCAATCATTAATTTCTTCTTTGTTCAGTTAAGTTGTTACAAAAATTGTTAGTATATCTTGTAGTTTCTTCAATATTCTGGTCATTCTTGCTCTAATTTCTTGCACTGTTGTTTCAACTCCTGAAGCAGCTAAACTGTACAAATTAAGAAATGTGACCACAACTCCAGACAATTACTCTAATAGTTTCCTCTTTTTTTTTTTTTTTTTTGCTATTTTTTGCCATTTGTCTACATTTGAGATTATGCTTTCATGTTTCTGTGATTAAATCTGGTGTGTCCCCCCCCCAAAAAAAAATCTTTATAAAAGGTTTTGTTTTTGCTTCAGTCCTTCACTTCCTTGGTTGTCAGGTTCACTATTGCATGAAATTGTTCTTGTTTCCCCTGCAAGGCATTTCTAACTTGATCCTGTGTTTTTAAGCTTTCCTCCAATGTATTCAGTGGCCCTTTCATTTTAGCAAGTTGTTCCTCCCAGCTTCTTTAACAATTATCCTGGAATCCTGATCTTTTTTATATAGCATCTCTAAATCTTTTTTTCTTGCTGTTGAATATGTTACATTTTAGCATCAGATCTTATTTGTCTTCCTTCAGCATTTACTTTATAGAAGCAAGTAGGTTGAAATTTCCATTCTCTTGCCTTTCCCCCCTCCTTCTGTGGCAGTGGAAGTGCCTGCTACTTCTGTTATTCTATCCACTAGGCTTTCTTCACATCTCTTTTGATAATCTTGACTTCTGGGGATAATCTAATGCTCCCTGAGCAGCTAGGTCTATTATATTTACCAGGTCTGACATGCATTGTTCCTCACTTCTTGTCATTAACAGATCATGAGTAACGTTTAAACAATCTCTGCTAATAATGTGCTCCAAATAACTTTTTTTCCCATTTTGTTCCTCATTATTATTGTTTTACATTTTAACCAGCTTTTAAACATTATAACCAGTCTTTATCTAATTCTTTTTTCTTTATTGTATATGAAAATTAATCATGTGTATGCAAAAGCAGAGAAGCAAATTTGCAAAGCCTCATTTATTATGTATGTAAGCTGCCCCGAGTAGACTTTGTCTAGGGGGGCAGGGTAAAAATCTAATAAAAGTACAGTAAAAGTAAAGTATGACAGTAGTTCTCATAATGTTATCCATCTCAGGATAACATTAAACTTCATTGTTTATACCTTAAATCTGCATAAAATTCATTCATAATTATAATCTACCTAGTTCATCTCAATTTAATAACTGACAAATATGTATACAATATAGAATGAGACCACCACGTCCCAAAAGTCATTAATTTAATATGTTATATTTTATTAATTTTCATACTCAACAGCAGGATGTCTAAGAATGGTTCCTATCCACAGGAATGTGGCTTTGCCTGCTATCTACTATCACGTTAAAGACATGAATCTTTAAGCCTTTTTTGTTCTCCCTTCAATGGAGAATACGATCAAAACACTGTGAAGTAGTAGCAGATATTCAGAATAAAGGATAGTAAAGAGTGAGGATCACATCCTCTCTTTCTGCCACTGACACAGATTTCCTCGGCTTCTTCATCCCCTTTCCTTGAAAAGCCTGTGTCTCAGTCATAAAATAATGCTCAAACAAGATGGCATATATTCTAAACTCTCTCCCTCTCTTACTACCTTTTTCTCTCTCTTAACAGATTTCTATTCAATAAGACATTCACATTCATCCTCTGAAGTCCTGCTTTCTATTCTCTTCATCTTATGCCTGCTTTCCCTGCCTTTGCCAAAAATGCTGAGCAGGGGTTACTAAAGGTGAAACAGCAGAAAGGGCAGTGATTTAGATAATCAAAATACATCCCAAGAATAATTATAGCAGTTGAGGAACGTTATGTCCTCTTAAAACTACCAGCTGTCTGCCAGCTGTTATCAGCCTCTCTGAAAGACTTGAACAGCAACTTTGGGATGGGGAAAGCCCACTCAGCTGCCTCAGCATGCCAAAAGCACTTTTCAATCTGCATGAAAATTTGTATTGATTATCACATACATTTTTGAATTATCTGAATACATATTCTCAACCATTTCCTAAATTAATATATTTTTGTGCAGACTTTTTCACCTGTTTTCAAGCTATTTTTCATCTGTTTTCAAGCTATTTCAAGCTATACCAGCAAGTTAAAGAGCCTTGTGGTGCAGCGGTTAAACTGCTGTACTGCAGCCAAAACGGTGCTCACAACCTGGGGTTCAATCCCAAGTAGTGGCTCAAGGTTGACTCAGCCTTCTCTCCTTCTGAGGTCAGTAAAATGAGTACCCAGCTTGCTGGGGGGGGGGGGCAATGTGTAGCCTGCATAATTAAAATGTAAACCGCCCAGAGAGGGCTTGAAGCTCTATGGGGGGGTATATAAGCAGCATGCTTTGCTTTGCTATTTTTCTGTTTAATAATGTGTATCTTTCAAAATACATTTTTGGGCAGATTCTTCCAAGCATATACATTTGTAGTACACATTATAGTATTTTGGTAAACCACATTGTTTAAACTTTGGAAGACACTGGATTTCAAGGTTTAAATGCATTCCAGAATACAGTGTTGCCTCGCTTAACGGGCGCCCTGTTTAACGATGAAATCGCATGCCGACAAACTTTTTGAGATCGCTTTTGCGATCGCATTGCGATGTTTTAAATGGGGAAAATCGCTTTGCGATGATTGGTACCCTGTTTTGCTTACCGATCATCGCAAAGTAATGATTTTTTAACAGCTGATCGGCGGTTCCAAAATGGCCGCCAGGTAAAAAAAATGGCCGCCCGCTGTTTTCTGGGACGGATTCCTCGCTTACTGGGCAGTGAAAATGGCCGCCGTATGGAGGATTTTCACTTAAAGGTGAGTCTGAAGCCCACAGGAACACATAGAAGGGGGTTCAATGCATTCCTATGGGCTTTTTAATATCACATAGTGACGAAATCGCTTTGCAGCGATTTTTGCTGCACCGATTATCGTCGCTATGCGAGGCACCACTGTATTACTGAGTTTCAGTAAGAATGAATTTTAGTAAAGTTGCACTGAAATCTAAAATGAACAAATTTTTCATCCATTCCTTTTCCTGGGAGTATGTCTTACTGAATACAGTGGCGTGTGTTTGTGAATAAATGTGAGCAGGATGGTATTGTATTCATGCAATCCTATATCCACTCATCCAGGAATAAGCCACACTGAAGTTATGTGATTTACTTCTGGGTGGGCACATACAGAATTGTATTGGAAGAAAGATACTAATTGGCTGAACATGCATGGTGTGGAACTCATCTTATGAATCAGATCCACACAGCTGGTTTTGCCGGTAGTTGTGTTACGGTGAAGTCCCACTTCACTTAAACAGTCAAAAGAACACATCAGCAGGAAGATAACATCATCTGCATATTGCGAAAGCCTTTGCCAGGGGAAGGGTGGGGTGGTAAGAAGGTTGAATGATATATTTTGAATATAAAACATTTTGGTAAGGTGACACACCATTTTCATTATACATCTGCAGTTTGAAAATTTGTTTAAATGTAACTATATACATGCATGCATGTAGATTACATACACTGGCCAGTATCTTTTTGCACACCCCAAAATTGTAAAAAGGAAGCATTCTGTGAGCAACAATCTGTACTGATGATAACATGGATTTCATTACTCATATGAAGCTAGGCAATAAGATACTGGCCGCTGATTTTCATTTCGGTTTGCTTTGGAAGTGCAAATCTAATATAAAGGATAAAATATTTCAGACTGAATTTCTTAAAAAAAGAGGCATAGTCTGCAATCCCAAACAGCTCAAATAAAAAGTTCTTACAATAGTTTCATAACAAGTGGCTCTATATCTTCATGCTTTCCAGATTTCTGCCACCATCTCCATTATTTGGATAAAATCACGTTGCTTAGTGCAGCTCAATTTAGCCTATTGAATCAGTGGAACTTACATGGAAGTTGACTCACAAAATCCCTGCTATTCAATGGGCCAGCTCTAGCTGCAACTTAGATTTTAGCCAATGTTCTATGGTTTGTCAAAAGCAAGGCAAAATTACATTTACATTTATAGTTCTCATCAACCTCTTAAAACCTTTATCCACAGAATATGAATATGACAAACAGCCAAAATACATTTTTATTAGCTGAATTATCACATGAAATGCATTAGTTTTTTTAAAAAGTGCTTTTAACTGGCTCTGGCAAATCTCATATGGTTACAGGTAAATATATTTGCATAAAATCCTCAACTATGATGTGCAATTCGGCTTCATTTTCCTTCTCCTGGTGGAGTTGCAACCTGGATTGCCATCCCAATTGTTTGGCTCCAGAAAAGGTCCCCTCCCCCTCCCCCCTTTACCTGGTATCCAAAAGCAATATACACAAAGGGGAAGAAATCATGGTTATGCTGAACTGCTTTTTACGTTCAATAACTGAAAAGCATTTTGGATTTTTTTTCTCATGAAACCACAAAGTTTGCTTGGTTTATATCCTGTGTATTGAGTCTGCCAGTAAGACGCTGCTGAATATTGTCCATGAGCGGCGCGCACACACAATTACATATGACAAATGCTAATGTGTATTTTTTTTCTTGTAGCTGAACAAAAATAAAGATTACTTACATCAGTATTTGTAATAACCATTTCTCTAAATACATAAGCAATGGTGCAATCTTCAGAATGGCACTTGATACGAAAATTACCATGTTCTGCAATGTCTGGAGGATCGGGCCAATACTGATGACATTTGGTCTAGCACAAAGGACAAAAAATGACATGATATTCTTACTTTTCATCCAGGGGCATTTACTTTTCCTACATGCCATCAGATCTTCAAAACTTACATGCACCAAACTCTCTTGTCATCTATCATTAAAAATGTTTAATCTTATTTTAAAATCTAGCTTGAATTAAAAAAAATAAAATACTTAGAACTAAACATAAATGCCAACAAAAATTGTGTTACATTATGAGATCTTAATAGGAAAAAAGCCAAACTTCAGATTCTAGAGAACAGAACTTTGGACTTTAGAGATTAACTAAATTTCTTTAGCAATAAAAGTATCTAAACTATGAGCACGTTATATTAAAAAAAGGGGGGGACAGCACATTGCTCTTGACTCAATCCCTTCCTTTCTAAAATTTTGTAACAAAATTATTGAGCAATTATTATTGTATTTTTCCGTGTATAAGATGAGCCCCACTTTTCCAACCCCAAGAAAAAGAAAAGTGGGGGGTCATTTACTTCATTCCTATTTCAGGTAAAGCAGCCATGAAAGGGCTGCACCATCACAGCCCTTTGATCGTGCAGCCCTTTCATCACTTCTTTACCCAAAGTAAAGCTGTAATCGTGCAGCCCTTTGATCCCTTTCCCCCTTACTTCCTTGTATAAGATTGACCCTCAATTTTTATTCTATTTTAGGAAAAAGTATTATCTTATACATGGAAAAATATGATATTTTCATTACTAAATAAATAAAATCAGAAGGAATTTCCCTCAGGCTCAGTTATTTCAAGTCTGTTAATTCTAACACAAGAAGGACTGCTGCATTTGAATTCCTCTGGAGTCCATCTCCTCCTCCACCCCCATCCCCAAAAAGGAAGAGCAGAGATATGACTAAAAGGGAGACTAAAAGTAGGTTTTAGGAACTTACGTTCAGATCTACAGTTTACAGATGTGTAAATATCTCTCTTTAAAACCAAACCTACTTTCTATGTTGTAAAGATTATGCATCTTAATATAGTGATAACATCACTAATCCAAAGCAGGAAATAGAAATGAAATAGACTCCACATCGAATCTTTAATGATGAAAAATCCTGTCATTCCTCTCTAAAGTCATAACCTATTGCAGTGTTTTGAATTTATAACAAAATTATCTTTTTGCTACACAGTATAAGTACAAAGATAATACAGAGAAGAATAGCTACAAATTCCCTAGAGTCCACCTTTCTCATCTCAACTGGCACTTAAAGTCTTAATAACTCACTCTGAAACATTTGTAGGAGAAAGAATAAAACAATGTCTTAACTTATACTAGCTTGAAATTCTACACTTATGTATACTGCTTTCCTTAATGCTCATATACTAACAACCAAATTAACAGATCAACAGCAACAAAACAACTATGACCAAACAATGAAAGAGAGGAACAGAACACTCAGCAGACAGATGGGGTTCTCTTTGCATTCAAATGCTGGAAGGAATGATTGATTAGTGCTCCATAGATGATCACTCTAGTTCAAAAAATTACTCTCGTAACTCAAACTACAGACAGCGTGTGAAGTTGTAAATAGAACTCCAGGATAAGTGGCTTATTTAAGAGATTTTTGCCACTGTGTTCAATGGGAATGATTCCCTAGCTATTCTGTTTAGGATGGCAGCCTGAATTTTCCTATGCAGTTATTTTTGTTGTGTAATAAAAATATGATTTGTCAATTTATTGCACCTCCAACTGAAAAGCAAGGGACAAATTACTGTCTTTTCTGCCTTAAAAAATTCTTTTTATAGCTCTTTACAAATAACCGTTTTTTTACAAATACAATCCAATTCTGACTAGCTCAGCTGTTAAGGACTTTTGACATATGAGGAATACCTCCATTTTCTTACTCCCCAAAGTATGGTTTTATAGCTTGTGCAGCCAACTTTAATTGAGGACCTTATCAGGTCCAGGTCCACTACTTGAGGACCAATGGATTCTGCAAGGAAGTACAGTAGTTATCCATGCAGCTACAGCTTGAGGACCAATGGATTCTGCAAGGAAGTAGTCATCCATGCAGCTACAGTTGCTTCACAGTGCAATGTGGAAAGTTTAATAAGAGAACATGATGTCAATTAAATTCCTAGTCCAGTGACAGTAAAATAATTGAATCAATTGTTGATTGGTAAGTTAACACTTTAAAAAAATACCCTCCAATTCACTGGGTCTGCTCTAGTTGATTAGTAAATAGATTTAGGCCACTAAGTGCAAGAGGTAGTTCCCTATAAAAAGGGAGGCACAAGAGACATAAATGACTTGAAATAATTTTGAACAGTTTTCTGGGAATAATACCTGTTTTACATTTAGTTGTGGTTAGAAGATACTGAAGTGCTGCTGGCAATTTGCCTATATAGTATAACATGAGAGAGAATAGTGTAATGCATGCCCTAGACTCATCTAGAGTATGTTTTTACAGTTCTATATTATTACAGTGGTGCCTCGCAAGACGAACGCCTCACGAGACGAAAAAAACGGAAGACAAATGTTTTTTTCAGTTGCTGGCAAGACGAACGCCTCACGAGACGAAAAAACCGGAAGACGAATGTTTTTTTTGATCGCTGTGGTGCCTTGCAAGACGGCTTTTTCTATGGCCGTGCTTCGCAAAATGATTTTTTTTCCTGAGACGATGCCTCGCAAGACCAAAAAACTGTTGGCCGTGCTTCACAAGATGATTTTTTTCCCCCGAGATGATGCCTCGCAAGATCAAAAAATTGTATGCATTCCTATGGGAAGCCGCTTTTTGCAAGATGATTTTTTTTGCAAGACAGCCCTTCTCGCGGAACGAATTACATTTGTCTTGCGAGGCACCACTGTATTGTTAATGCTCTTAGTTACCTTTAACATTTTATGGAAAGGTGCAATAGGAGTGTTTTTAACAACCAAAATAGTGATTGTGAGGTTACAACTTTCAGTTTGATGGTTCTGACATTTCACATTTCAGCTTATTTTAGGTTACAACTTTCAGTTTGATGGTTCTGACTTTTCACAAATTGCAGTTTATTTTTTCAAAGGAGTGTTTCATCGAAGGAAGGAAGCTAATATCAGAAATTGCCAAAGGGACAAGCAAAACCACATTTCACTGTATACAAAACTCCTCCTCCTGCCCAATTCCTTCTTTTCCTTTGTAAACAAAGATCTCTACACCCCTGGAATGGATTGAAAACAAATGCCACCTACCCGCCCTCTTTCTGTGAGGGTTGTCAACATGATAATTAGTGATAGTCTGCGATCCCAAACCGCTTGCCAGAAATGTATACAGGTGTGTGGGAGAGGGCCTTGTGTGGCAATGTACTTGTTCAGAAGGCCAGCAGAGGGAATTTCCACCTATTAGGAGATAGTAAGCTGTATATAAAGTTTGCTCTTACTTGAAGGTACTTTGAAAAATGCAAGTTGACTTTTTTAAAAAATGAAAGAATTTAAAGATGTTTTCAAATACAGCATCAATTCACTCAAAATCAGATAATTATGTCAAAACTTAACCAAGATTAAATATATATGCACATGGAAATTTAAGATTAGTATTGATCTAAATGAAGATAGGCTAAAAGCTTCCCCCCACAAAAAGTAAGCAGTAATTTGGCCACCTATGGCAAGTCACCCTTTTCAGTGAATCAGTTTTGGAGGTTGGAGACCTCAAGAATGTTGCAGGCAGCTCCTACATGGGGTAGAGGAGTGGCTTATACTAGTTTTGAAGAGACTTTACTGTTGCTTAGTATAGTATTTTGCCCTAGAGTGCCAATATCACATGGAAAGTCCCTTAGAGTGCTGTGATAACATGGGACCTAACATAAGAAATTACAATTACAATTTAAAAAAATCCCACTAGAGATGTGCAAATTTAAAACTGGATGGATATAAATTAAGGACCAAAATTTAAAGGTTAGTAAATGAATTATATAGGCTGAATTAACATATGTATTTATTAATTGAATCAACTTTATACCACATAAATAAAATTTTAGATAAGACACAGGCCTGTCTCTAGTCTAGTGGAAGCAATATTTTAAGGGTTAATGCAAGAGTGACATCTAATACAATTTTTGTTGTAGTACCAAATCTCTTTTGAAACTACTTGCCCAACTCTTTGCACAAAGTTAGAACCAAAGTACAACTGTGCTAGTGGGGACTTTCACTCTGCTAGTGTTATGCTGTGTTTCAGGTTTAGTATATAACATATAAATTGAGTAGTCAATAAACATGCACTTTAAATAATGTTAACATTATGGTCTTTTATTACTGTGCTAGTGGGGATTTTCACTCTGCTAGTGTTATGCTGGATTTCAGGTATAGTATATAACATAAAAATTGAGTAGTCACGCCATAAACATGCACTTTAAATAATCTTAACATTATGGTCTTTTATTTTGGAAAAATGATCAAAGATTATTCACATTAATCTGCACGTACTAGTATTTAATCATTCTCTCAATTATTTCTCAGAATTTTCTAGTACTAACAATGTTCAATATATTTAATAACATTTTGAAAATACAAAGAAAATAATATTTTTAAACTCTACATCTTTAGATAATTAAAAGAATAAACTGACTTATACCTCACATATCCCATGTTTAAAGTTGTTTATACAGAAATTAAAAGAATATGTATTTGAAAAAGTCTATTACATTTTCCCAAATAATTTGCTGGCTAGTTTCTTGAGATGTTATCTGCTGGGAAGTTCGTATAGAGTTGTTTATACAGAAATTAAAAGAATATGCATTTGAAAAAGTCAATTAAATTTTCCCAAATAATTTGCTGCCTGGTTTCTTGAGATGTTATCTGCCGGGTGTGTGTGTATGTGTATGTATGTGTGCGTGCACACACATGTACCTGTGTGGAAATGCTAATGACTAAATACAATGCATTGCTGGCTAAAAATGTTAGTTTATAAATGTAATTAGCATAAGTTTATTAGGCCTGCTTTCCTCCTTGTACATTCGGAATGCCTTTGTGTACATGAGGTATATCTTCTACTGCCAGACTTTGTGGAAATTAAACTGCTTTAAGCATGACGTTTCTTGTGTTTGCAAAAAAACAAAAAAACAAAAACCCACCAGTATCACTTACATTCACATAATTTGCATTTATATAATCATCCTTTCCTTGTAATATTACTCTGGTGGTATCATCTGGTGGGGAAAAAAAAGATCAATAAATGTTCAAAGAATTAATACAGTACTATCTTTAAATCACAGTGTAGATCTATAGATCATGGGGAGAGTGGCAATTTCTTCTTTGCAAAAAAAATGCCTTTCACCACAGACTCATCATCTCAAAATCTCTGTTTGGAAAACACGTTAATGAACTCCTTATTGACTGACAAGATGGACAAGAATGAATGCATCAATAGAATGACTTTATTAAATCACAGAGGTACAACAAGGAGAGAAATCACAGAAAAACTTTTAAAGCTCTCTGGAAAAGGAGACGTATAACACAATTTGGATCTTCATAGTGGGTTGGAGGTAGAGGGCGAGTTGCTAACCTGTAACTGTCATGTAAGAGAATCTATGGCTATGCGTAGCATCATTTTGGCAAAGAAAGCTCAGAAATAGAAGGGGAAATTCTTTGTCCCTGTTTGACTGAGGGATGAGACCTTTTCCCAGTGATTCTGGGACTGCTACAAGTGCAAAGCAAAAACTAAACCTACTTCTGGAAAGTGGAAGTATTGTGTGAATGTCCACATGTCCACTGAAGAAATGGAGCAAGGGAGGCAACTCTTCCCTTAAAGGTATTTTTGGTCTACAACTCCCATTGGCCCTGGATAAAATAGCTAGAGGTGAGTGATTATGGGAGTTGGGGTTGAAGCACATCAGGAGGATCCCAACAGCCCAACCTTGAATGAAATTTACAGACAAGAAACCTGCCTTTTTTTTCTTTGTGGTTATTTTACAGTTATATACATGGGAAAACTTGGAGGTGACAGTAGATCTTTTTTATTTTTTGCTCCTGTAAATGACAACTGTTATTCAAAGCAATGTACACAGCCTTGCTTTGATATTTATACATGGGAGCTGCTTAGGCACATATGTCAAAGCAAGGCCTTGTACACTGCTTTGAAACGTCTTCATTTTCTTCTTCTTTTCCTTTTCTCCAAATAAGTGAACTGGGCCATACCCACTGTCAGTCATAACATCTGCAAAAACAGGTGGGAAAACATTCCATTTTTGGAGAAGGTATTGTCCATGGTGTGTGTGTGAGGAGTGTGAAGTCAGTCAATTTCCTCACTCCTTAATTTTTTCTTTCCCCACTTTCACATATACCATTATATGGCTCATCTGCTTCTATATGTGCTTGTCCACCTGTGCTTCATATGCATACGGAGTAACATGAATAAAAACACTTTATTTTGCATTAGTCTCATTTAGCTTAGAAATGATAGATGTGAGAATCATATCACTAACAATTTCTATTAAAGAGAATGATACCTAATATTTATATATTGCTACTTACATGGTAGAACATCTTTGTATCGATTTTTGTCCATGTTTTGAGGTAGTTTTGCATAAGTAATAGCTAATCCTGGCTTTTTTCTATAAAGTTGCTAGAAGAAGAAGAAGAAGAAAATTTTTTTAAATCACAGATTCATAGAATAGTGAAGTTGGAAGGGGCCTATGAGACCATCAAGTTCAACCCCTTTCTCATACAGGAATACAAATTAAAGGATATCTGCCAGGTGGTTGTCTAAATTTCTCTTGAATGTCTCCAGTGCTGAAACACTCAACACCTCTCGAGGTAACTGGTTCCACTGTCATACTGCTCTAACAGTTAGGACGTTTGTATTCAACTGAAATCTGGCTACCTGAAACTTGAGCCCATTGTTGCATGTCCTGCACTCTGGGATGATCGAGAACAGGTCCTGCCCCTGCTCTATATGACAACCTTTCAAGTATTTAAAAAGTGTCATCATTATCACCCCGTCTTCTTTTCTCAAGACTAAACATGCCCAGTTCTTACAGTCTTTCTTCATAGGGCTTGGTTTCCAGCCCCCTGATCATCCTTATCGGCCTCCTCTGGATGTGTTCCAGTTTGTTAGTATCCTTCTTGAAGTGTTGTGTACAGAACTGGACACAATACTCAAGGTGAAGCCTAACCAGTGCCAAAGAGAGCAGAACAAGCACCTAGCAGGATTTTGAAACTATACTTCTGTTAATGCAGCCTAAAATGACATTTGCCTCAAAATTCTGGCTAAAACGAGTGATACGAGTAGATCTAGGTGAGAGAAGGCGTTCTGCCAGGTATCGAGGTCCTAAACTGTTTAGGGCTTTATATGCAATCATTAACACTTTGAAATCGATGCAGAAACCAACGGGCAGCCAATGCAAGGTGGCCAGAGTGGGAGAAATATGCTGGTGTTTTCTCACCCCACTAAGAAGTCTGGCCGCCGCATTTTAGCTATTCCACCCAATTTTTACTTTTTGATATTTATATTTTGGATAAGTATTCCCTGCATCTCTTCACCCAAGTCATTAATAAAAATGTTGAAGAGCAATGGGCACAGGACTGAGCCATGGAGTCCCCCACTTGTTGCCTCCTCCCAGTAGGAGAAGGAGCCAATAATCATCACCCGCTGAGTACGATTCTGTAGACAATTGTGTATCCACCTGACATTTGCTCTATCCAGCCCACACCTAGTTAGCTTGCTAATCAGGGTATCATGGGGCACTTTCTCAAAAGCTTTGCTGAAGTCAATATATACCATGTCTACAGCATCCCCTTTGTCTATCAAGGAGGTTATACAATAAAAAACTGCAATCAGATTAGTCTGGCAAGATTTGTTCAACAAATCTGTGTTCGCTTTTAGTTATTACTGCATTGCTTTCTAGGTGCTTGCATAGTGACTGTTTTATAAATTGTTCCATAATTTCCCCTGGGATTGACATCAGGCTGACTGGCCTGTAGTTCCCAAGTTCCTCTTTTTTGCCCTTTTTTGAAGATAGGAACAACATTGGCCCTCCTCCAATCATCTGGCACCTCACCCATTTTCCATGATTTCATGAAAATAATTGACAACAGTTCTGAGAGTTCTTCCGCCAATTCCTTTAGCACTCTCGGATGCAGTTCACTGGCCTTGGAGATCTGAACTCAATTCAAGGTGGTATGGGATTCCTTGACTCTTTGTTTATCAATCTTCAGTCACAATCCTGTCTTCCACTTGCACGTCACATTTGTCTGGAGGTTCACAGTCTATCCTATGGGAAAAGACTGAGCTAAAATAGGTATTGAGCACCTCTGCCTTTTCTTTGCCATCTGTTATCATTTTTCCATCTCCGCTGAGTAGCTGTGTCACAATTTCTTTTCTTTGTCTTTTGCTTCACAAATACCTGAAAAATGCTTTTTTATTGCTTTTAATGTCTCTAGCTAATCTCAGCTCATTCTCAGCTTTTGCTCTCCTAATGCCATCCCTGCATTTCCTTGATAGTGGTCTGTACTCTTCTTCCTTGGTGACCTGGCCTGTACGTGTCTTTTTTTGTGGTCAGATCCTCCCTAAGCTTTATGTGAAGCCACCCTGGCTTTTTTGCTGCCTCCCACCTTTTTTTCTTGACTAAAATTAATAACTGAAGTCTTAGGGCTAAACTCTGTGTTAATCTCAGAAAGCCAGATCCACTTAAATCCATAGAGATTTTACATTACTTGTGAATAAAAAGTTCCATTCATTTCAATGGGTCTTCTCTCATTGAGACAAACATTGGATTTAACCATAGTCTTTGGCTTTAGGCATTCAGAAAAAATATTACCTCCAAAAAATCAATTTTGGAATTATTTTAAAAGTAAACACCCATACTCTACAGAAGCTATTGCAATCATTGTTGGCATTGTCATCATTAGATATGGGATTTCAACACACTCTTTATAGAGGCAGCCTCTGCCATGAACCTTTGAAGTAATTTGAAGTAAATAAACGATTATTCAATAGGAAGTATAAATTCAATAGTCTCTGAAACAGGTCCAGCCAACATGGCCAAAAAAAGGAACTGAGGGGATCATTGATGGGTGGAGCATGTGCTCCATGGGGGAATGCTCCACTAATCATGTGTCTTTATGCGCTAGAAGCTTCCGAGAGGTTCAGCACAGGCACAGAACAATTCAATTGTGTGCATTCAGAGGCCACAAAGTAGTAGTACAATAAAGCACAAACAAAAAACACAACTGGGAAGGGGAACAACTCATTGATACAGTATCTGCTTTGTATGAAGATAATCCCAGGTAAGGTAAAGGTTCCCCTTGACAAATGTCTAGTCGTGTCTGACTCTCGGGGGCAGTGCTCATCCCTGTTTCCAAGCCGTAGAACCAGCATTTGTCCATAGACAGTTTCCATGGTCACGTGGCCAGCACGACTAGACACTGAACATTGTTACCTTCCCACTGAGGGAGTACTTATTTATCTACTTGCATTTTTACATGCTTCCAAACTGTTAGGTTGGCAGGAGCTGGGACAAGCGACAGGAGCTCACTCCGCCACATGGATTCGAACTGCTGATCTTTCAACCTTGCAGCCCAGAGGCTTTGCAGATTAACCCACAGCGCCACCACGACCCTTAATCCCAGGTAGGGTTAGCAAAAACTCTTGTCTGAAACCCTGGAGAGCTGCCAGACAGTGTTAACAATACTGAGTCAGGCAGATTAAAGGTCTGACCCATGTAAGGCAGCTTCCCATGTTTTTCTACCCACAACTACAAAGAATTGTCGATGCTGTGCCTGAAGCCATCGGCACTCAAGCAACCATAACCCCTGTTGGTTTACGGTGATTTTGTAATGGTAGCTAAATGTTATGTTCATGCTCAGAAGGAGAAGAAAGATGGCTCAGTATTGAAGGCTAAATGGTCACTTGTTCTAGTCCTCAGAATTATCATGTCATGAAAGAAGAAACACAGCCAGCTAGTCCAGGAGCAGCAATGAAATTTAAAAAGCAGGATTGAGTAATATCTTTATTGGACCATTAATATATAATTATATTGTATACCGCCTCATAGTGCTTAAAGCACTCTCTGAGTGGTTTACAATGTAATCATGCAGGTCACCCATTGTCCCCTCCCCAGCAAAAAGCACTCTCTGGGTGGTTTACAATGTAATCATGCAGGCCACACATTGTCCCCTCCCCAGCAAGTTGGGTCCTTAATTGCACTGGCTGCCCATTCGCTTCCGCATTGACTTCAAAGTGTTAATGATGACATATAAAGACCTAAACAGTTTAGGGCCTCCCCCAGCCATTGCTACAGCTGTGGCTTTGAGGGTGTCACCCATGTCTCTGCAGTCAACACCCCAGTCCGTAGGTGAATCTCAGGTACCTCACTAATATGAAAGAACTGCCTTCTCAGCAGTGGCCCCTCGACTTTGGAATAGCTTGCCGCCACAGATCTGCCTGGCACCCTCGCTGGGTGTTTTTAAGAGCCAATTAAAAACTTGGCTCTTTAGACAGGCGTTACCTCCTGTCAATACTTTTATTTTTCTTGGTTTCTGCCATTCACTTTCCCATCTTGATTATATTATTATTGTAGATTTTAATTGTTATTTTAAATCTGTTTTTGTGTTTAATATATTGTGAGCCGCCCTGAGTAGACTCCTGTCTAGAAAGGTGGGGTAAAAATTCAATAATTAATAAATAAATAAATAAATAAATAAACAAACAAACAAATAAATAAATAAATAAATAATTTATATCGGAAGAATGGAAGGCTGAGTGAACCTTGAGCCAGCTACCTGTGACTGAACCCGGGTCACAAACAGAATTTTGACTGCAGTAAAGCAGTTTAACCACTGTGCCATGAGGTTCCTCAGATATACAGTAGTGCCCCGCATAGTGATGATAATCCGTGCAGCAAAAATAGTCGCTATACGGATTCATCGCTATGCGGGAAAAAAGCCCATAGGAATGCATTAAAACCTGTTTAATGTGTTCCTATGGGCAAAAAACTCACCGTTATGCGAAAATCCTCCATACGACTGCCATTTTCGCTGCCCGGTAAGCGAGGAATGGGCGCGAATACACCACAGGTGGCCATTTTTTTACCTGGCACCCATTTTGGAACCGGTGATCAGCTGTTCTAAAAACATTGCTATATGAAAATCGGTAAGCGAAACAGCTTACCGATCATCGCAAAGCGGTTTTTTAACATTCAAAACATCACAATGCAATCACTTTTGCGATCGCAAAAAATTCGTCGCTATGCGGATTCGTCATTAAACGAAGCGCCCATTAAGCGAGGCACCACTGTACTGTATAAAATCTAGGCAACCTGGTAGAAGGCTGTATGAATTCTGAAAAATACTTCTTTGGCTACCTTGACATAAACCACTGAAGCCTCTGTGCTGCAAGGTCAGAAGACCTGCAGTCGTGAGATTGAATCCATGGGATGGCATGAGCCCCTGTCATTTGTCCCAGCTCCCGCCAACCTAGTGATTCGAAAGCATGCAAAATGCAAAACTGCGAGTAGATAAATAGGTACCACCTCGGTGGGAAGGTAAACGGTGTTCCATGTCTAGTCACGCTGGCCACGTGACCATGGAGAATTGTCTGTGGACAAACACTAGCTCTATGGGTTGGAAACGGAGATGAGCACTGCCACCTAGAGTAGGACACGACTCGACAAATTGTCAAGGGGAACCTTTACCTTTACTGGCACTTGAATAAATGTTTGGCTCATTTGGGGATCAATCTTGTTAACCAACATAGCAGATGCCCTGTAATAAACGGCAGTTTCAAGAAGCAGTGCACCTAGACATGTGGCAGATTTCTTCAGGTTTGATCAGAAAAGGATGGATTCAGACCAAAGGGCTCAACACTCTGAATGGCCCATTACCTCAAACTGAATTAGGACCGTTCCACTTTCTAGTCCCTGCTTCAGTTGTTCCATTGACTCTTCTAGAGTTCCACCATGTTCTGAATAGGTGGGAAGATTTGCTTCTGGGAAAAGAGAGCTATCAACTTCATCCTCTGACTTGCTCTCTACAAATGGTTTGACAACTGGAAGACAAAGAGTCAAATTCAAACATCAGTAATTTTAATAGTAACATTTTGCATTTTCTATGCTAAAGCCATGCAGTGGGGAGTTGTCTGGTATAAGTTAAAATAGATGTAATAGGTTCATAATGAAAGTACAGAAAGGCAGAATCTGTGAAATACAGTCAACTCCAACATAAACTCTATGGCAGAGAATGGCAATCTCTGCCAAATGTTTCTGACTAAACTCCCACTGGCCCAGCCACCATGGCAAATAATCAAGGATAATGGGATCTCTAATCCATTTTGACAACATTATGCTAAATGCCCAGCTCTGTAGGATATACAAGAGAAGATGAAGCAGGGCAGTGGTGCTTTGTATGCCAAAGAGGGCATAACACCAAAGAAGCTAACCTAACAAGACCTGGGCCATCTACAGAATCACTTTTGGTGTCAACATCAAACCACCAAGCAAGTTTAGTATTAGTTACATGCTAGCATTCTCAGCAGCAAAATTCTGATGAATTTGAGTTGAAGAAGAAATTGAGAAGATTCTGAGATGAAGAAGGAAATCAGAGACATCCACAGACTAAATTGTTATAGCAATGAGTAGATTAAACTACTCTCACAAAGACTGGATAAACACATGTTCCAGACATGACTAAGGATGCAAATCTTCACTTATTTTGTTTTCACATGGAAGAATGAAGATTTTCAAAAAAATGTTCTTCTTCTGGGTGAATATTACAAGAGTTTTTGTGCATTTTTGTGGGGAAACTTTGAAAGTGTTTGTTTTGTTTTTGGTTAAAAAGATTGTATTGTGTGCAGAAAAAGTTGCCCTTGAATTTTATGAAGTATAGGAGGTTTTTGTGCAACATCACACTTTTTTGCTAATGCTTCTGCTAACAAAAAAAGCATTGAACTTTTTACTATCACGAAAAAAGAAAAAAATCATATCACTTTATTCCCCCCCATGCTGGTTTCATGATGTGTATTGTCTAGTGAGTACTGCAATCATTCATTAGTCAAGACAAAGATAATACTACCAGATAACATAAATGACGGTTGGTAAGACAATCTCAGAGAACTAACTAGAGAAGATGTGACTCTGGAATTAATTACCGTATTTTTCGCACTATAAGACGCACTTTTCCCCCCACAAAACAGGGAGGTGGAAAGTCTTATGGAGCGAAGAAAACAGATTATTTTTTCCTGTTTTCTTCTCCTAAAAATTTGGTGCGTCTTATGGAGAGGTGCGTCTTATGGAGTGAAAAATACAGTATAAATGGTGCCTGGTGCTTCCTGCAAGACATTATATTATTGACACTACACTGTATTGATAACACAGTGGCCATGGTGCTGTCAAACTAAATGTACTGTATGTGTAATGGGGTAATTGGAAAACTGCCAAGGAAGATAAACACAGACACATTTCACTTCAAAAGAAGATGTTCCAGAAAGTGAGGAGGCTGATAAAAAGAAACCTGAAAGAGAAAGTCAAAGGAGCCAATCCTCTCCAGAACACCAAAACAATAGAAATTTAGTTAGAAGATATATCACAAGGCCAGAAGGTAAAACCAAATATAAGAGGCCTCCAGTAAACAGGCAACCTCAAGGAAGCTATTAAAGAGAAAAACAGATTTCCTTGAGAAAATGAAAGCCGTATCCAAATAAGGACAACAACAAAATGAAAGGAAAGAAAAATAAAAAGAGATACAAAAAGGGATTTTGAGGGGCATACTGCTAAGACCAAACAGTTTAAAGAAATACATAAATCAAAACAAAAAAAACTTCATGACCAAACCCTACGGGTGTTTGCAAAACTTGGAACAGCTAATTGCAGCTTAACAATGAGGCATGGAGACATGTCTCAACTGCATGCCCGGTCGCGTGCCCAACTTCCCACCTGAGCTGTGTCCTGGCACCAGCTGTTGCAAGCTATATAAACTTTACACAAAGACCTACAGGATTCCAGCTGATGGGGGGAGGTTATTACAGAAGAGTTCAGAGATGTGATTTCTCTCACGCTGCTTGCCATCACTCTGATGCTTCAACTCAAGCATGCATTTTGTACCAGAAGAGGCATCAGAGCTGGCAGGCTGGCAGGAACTTTTAAAGAGAGCCAAATCACTGTAAAGGGGCCAGAGTCTCACAATATTTGCGATTTTTAAAAAGGGCCTGCTTCCGTGGAACTGCCAGTACATTCAAATAATTGCCTGACTTTTATGTCACCACGCAGTCACCTGAACCATGAGGATACCCATTAACTGATCAATCCAGAGGGTAAGTGGGGGAAAACGATGGAATCCTGAATTATATCCACCACCAAAATAGATCTGCTTGTTAAAGTGCCACCTTGGCAACTCTTGCAACACCTTTCCTTTACATGCTTGTACCTAGTTGTTTTCCATAGCGCGGCTTTTGCATTGTTCAGCCAAGTACCCAAGAAGCTTTCTGACAAGAAGCTTCCCACTGATCTCTTTGTTCTTCTTGATCTATGCCACTGAATCCTTTTAATTTTTTGTTCTAAAGCCTTTGAGATGCCAGATGTTTCTGTTCTTTTTACTTAGACAATCAGTATGTGTAAAGATCTTAGTTCAGCTCTAAGGTTAATCTTTGGTTGGCTTAGTCTTCAAAACTGTACTTTATGATTCTCACTTAGTACTTCTTTTTGACTCTGGTACCTGGATTTGTGTATCCTACAGTGCGACCTGAGAGCTCCTGTTGTCCTGCAGGAGGCTTCCACCTTCTGTATGAATTCTGTATTCTGGACCCAATGACAGTGCTCAAGAAGAAAAATCTATGTGTTCACAGGATCTATTATAAAATGCCCCAATGTGTTGCTTTTGAGTCACTTTTTACTAATTGTCTTTCTCGCAACTATTCTCAAGGTTCTCTGTGTTTTAGTGGAGGAGATATATAGGGATGGAAAACCTCTAGGGTATAGAGGCTGCACATTCCCACCTAGAACCTGGAAGGTTATGCTGGCTTCTGTGCAGGTATTTTTCATTTTTTTTAAAAAAAAACTAAAAAAGCCTTTTGCACCCTCTCGTGGTCATAGAATGAAATTTCACCATGTTTTCAGCTGCTCTTACAGGCCTAAAAGATGCTTTTCCCCTCCAAAAACTGAAGGTGACTATAGAGGTGCCTCGACTTACAAACATTCCAACTTACAACCAATTTGAGTTACAACCAGCTTCAGCCACGAAATTTTGCTTCAACTTGTGGCTAGAGCTTTGAGTTATGAATGGGAAAAAAAAGGTGGGGGAGGTAGGGAATTTGAACTGCTTTCAGTGAACCGTTGGTCAGTGAACAAGCTGCTTCTCTGTAGCTCTTTCACCCCAGCAGTTAGAGAGTGTGGGTTTGGAGAGAGACTTCTGGCACTGTACTGTATGGTGTGTTTTTTTTTGGGGGGGGGCATTTTTGTTTTTAATTTTTTGTTCTTTTTGGATTTTTGCTTTTGGACATTCTTTTTTAAAACAGAGAGACAGCCTGTTCTGGGTGAATACTGTATGTATAGGGTTTTTGCAGTGTGGGTTTGGGCTGGGGAGGGGGTTATGTTTCTGTGCTCTGATGGGTTTTGCAGTGTGTAGCTGTAGCATTTTTTGTACCTGGTAGAATTTTTTTTAATTCTGTGGCTTCTAAGGTTTGTGTACTGTGACCTCTCTTTTGTTTTAAAAGGTGTTTGGTTTAAAATGTCTTGTGTAAAATGTGTAGGTTTAAAATGTGTGGGTTTAACAATGTGCGTTTAAAATGTGTTTTAGACTCCAAAGTCTCCCCCCCAATTGTCTTCTCTCTCTCTCCTCTCTCTTTTTGTGCTTAAAAGCACAAACCTTTGTCTGAGGGGTCTGTGTGTTCTTTCTTTCCTCTTTTCCCCATTGTTTCCTTCCCTCCTTTCCTGCCCTTTTTTTTAAACCTAAGTCATCTTAGGTTAAAATAAGAAGAAACTCTCCCTAGTGGTAGAGGATGGATTAACTGCTTTGCATTGGTTCCTATGGGAACGAATGCTTCGACTTGCAACCGGCGCCTCTAGATATAACCAAAAACAGCTGGAATGGATTAATCGGGTTTCAATGCATTTCAATGGGAAATGCTACTTCGACTTACAGCCGTTTTGACTTACGGATTCAGTTCACAAGTTCAGGCACCACTGTACTAGTTTTGTGGTGGTGGGGGAGTCCTCACTCAGCCTGCAACAACTTGGGGAGGAGACATGTTGTATTTATCTTGAGAGGTCCATCAGCACTGCAAGCAAAAATTCAGGGTTGCCAAGAAGTAAGCTGTATGCAGTACCCAAGTCATATCACTGCGCTTAAGTGAGATTCAAGAAAAATGTAAAGAAAGTGCTTCAGCCATGAGGAAATGAAAACATTTCACAAGAAATTCTTTCCCAAAGCAACTTGCACCATCTATTGTTTCAGGTGGTGGATATATTCACTGTCATGAATGAAAATGTACATATATTCACCTGTTATACTTTCCTGTTTGCTTCCGGGCCAGGTTTAGGGTGTTTATGTTAACTTTTAAAGCCCTTAATGGTTTAAGACAGAGGTCCCCAAATTTTTCACCATGAGGGCCACATCATATATTTTACACATTTTGAGGGCCAAAGGAACACACGTGCACAGAAATGCACACATGGGCTGAAGGGAATGGACCTCAGCCTATGGCATTCATGGGCCAAAGGAACACACGTGCACAGAAATGGGCTGAAGGGGATGGACCTGAGCCTATGGCATTCATCAGGCTAGATAAAAAGGCAAGGTGGGTTGGATATGGCCCACAGGCTGTAGTTTGGGGACACCAGGTTTAGGACCTTATTACCTGGTTGAGCACCTCTCTCTCAAAACATATACCTGTCCCATCTGCACCTCTCATATTTGGAGACTCCGAGTGGCCACCTCAAGGGAGGCCTAGAAATTTGTCACTTGAAACCATGCCTTTTCTGTGGTAGCTGCTTCACTTTGGAGCTCCCTGCCAGCAGAGGTGAGACTCGCCCCACTCCTCCTGGGTTTCTCCCTGCCAGCAGAGGTGAGACTCGCCCCATCCCTCCTGGGTTTAGGAGGCAACTGAAGACCTGGTTGTTACCCCAAGCCTTTCAATAGTTTGCCCCAAATCTAGTAATTTTATGTATCCCTTCTGCTGCCAGCCTGTCATTAATCTTCCTTTTTTATGTGTGTGTGGTTCCTGTAGCTATGCCTAGAACCCCTTTTCCACTATTGTTTCATTGTTTTTATCATCATTGTTTATGACTTTGTGTCCTTCTATTAGCCACCCAGAGTTTCTGGGATAGAAATGTAAACAGATAAGCAAGCAAACTTCCCAGTATGCACCAAGTGCTTCTGCTCACAAGTTTCACTAAAAAAAAACAAAGTGCTTCTGCTCACAAGTTTCACTAAAAAAACAAAGCAAGACAAAAAAAAAACACCCTACTGTTGTTATGAGATAAATCAGAATTAGAATCATGCTATGTATGGCACACTACTTTAAAATGTGGAATGCCAGATGTAGCAGGATGTCAGATCTAATTTCCCCATTCATTTACCTAGCATACAGAGGCCAAACTGCATGTTACACTGCGGACTATTCTGTACTAAACATTGCCACAGAAGATGTGAAATGCTTCTGCCACATGCTAACAGTTCAACTGCTGTGAAAATGAACATTTTCGCCACAGGAGACTAGAGGTTATAACAGAAAGGACACCATGGCATACGCCTCAATCTCAAAACATTTAACATTAGCAGCAAGCATAGGACTACTGAGGTGAAAGAGATCCCTTAGAGAAAATTGCAAGAATCATCCAGCCACCATTTCAACAACATACTTAGTAAAAAAGGAAAACCATTAGAATTGGCTATGCATCCAGAGGACCAAAGAAATTCTGGATAATCTGGTGTGGTAACAATGTCACGCGCAGATGGAGAAACAAGGTAAAAGGAGCTTCTGAAATAATGCACAACAGTGGTTTGAGTACAAGGGGCACTGAAAGCCAGCTGAGCAAGAACTGCTGCTCTGTCCTTCGGTAGAATTAGGTATAGTATTGCTAAAATGAACTAGAGACTGTAGGCAGAGGTTTTTGGACGGATAGAGAAACCAGGTTCACTTGGGGAATGCATAGTGGTGCTGAGGTACTTGAGGAGGTTGTTGGTGAGAAACTGCGGCCAACAAGGGGAGAATATTGTTGAAGATAACCTCCTTGGATTTCATGATAAAAGTGTTAAAATCTAAAGAGATTTAGAATTTGGAATTAATCGTTATAATTGTAATTGTATTTTTAATGATTTTATACATGTTTATATTGATGTGTTTTTATCTATGTAAGCCGCCCCGAGTAGACATTGTCTAGAGGGTTGGGGTAAAAATCTAATAAATAAATAAATTAAATAAATAAATAAAGAGTCCAAAGTGGGACAGAGACCCACAACTTTCTTGGATATAGCAAGAAAAAGCCACATTCTTTCAAATGTATGGGCAGATGCTAAATACTAGCTTTAGAAGCTTTCTAGACTAAATATAGAAACTTTCTGAAATAAGATCTCTATACAGATACAGAACCTTTATTTGGAACTGCACAGAAATCATGAAGTATTTGGTATGTGTAGTAATAGCAGCAACAGAAACAACCTCTCTCATGTTTTCTCTAGCTTTAAACATCTGACAATACAAACTCGCTATTCTCAGAGGCTGAGGCAAAAACAACAAACCTACATGCTCAAACAGCTGCTGAAAACACCAGGGTTTCCCCGTTTCTCTTTTTAACAGGAACTCCTTGTACTATACTGCAGGCTGCAATGATGCATCTCCCAAATTTTCAAGGCTGGCATTTTGGTAGGAGATAAGGAATTTAATTCGTTTTAAAAAATTCTACGATATTGAATTTTGGATACTCTGCTTCTCTATGCACAATTAAAAAGGTAAGGAAATGGCCCGATATTGCTGCACAATATCAGACCTGCATTGCCAGCAGGAAACGGATGCCAAACTTTACAAGCAAAAGACAGCATGAATGTTGACCAAACCAATGTCAACAGTCAAAATGGTCTACACGACACCCTCTTGTGCTGACTACAATTCACAAAAAGATACCAAGCAGGGAAAAATCTGAGAACCTGACTACTTTTTTCATCACTTGGCCATTTCTCATCCAACAAAAAGCAACTGTCAGGGCTGTTTGTCAACAAACTGTCTAAGTTGCAAGAACTAAGTTGAACTTACTAGAAAAGGCAATACTGCTAGGAAAGAGGGGGGAGAGTAGGAAGAGAGAATGACCCGACATGAGACTAAATAAAGGAAACCACTGAAATATCTGATTTGCAATATCTAAGCAGAGCTTGTAATGATAAAACATTCTGGAGGTCATTAAGTCCTATAGTCACCATATATCAGAAGTAACTTGATGGCATATAACGTCTTTGGATTTTTTTTTTAAGCACCAAGCAATTGTAGCATGACATGATGGGTGGCACAAAAACTCTGCTAACTTCAAGTAAGACTATCCCTAGCCACAAAGCACTAAAACAGAACAAAAGGAAAAAAACAAAACACAGCAATTTCACAGCTTAAATGAGTGAGCTTCTGAATATTTGCTCTTTATTTTTTGTCTATGTCAGCATTTTTACAAAAAGACACATTATCCTTTTGTAAGCATGAAAGTGAAAAATCCTATTTGGCCAGGAAGGAGTTAAAAATTCCTCCTTCTGAGAGTTAGTTAATTAGATCCTGACTGACAGGGTTCAAAAATTCAGATTGCCTCAGATGCAAAGCTGAGCAGCTACAGTATAGCCTTTGTTGAAGCTTTTTTCTTTAGCAAGCCTGTACTATGCATACTCGGTGTCATTACTGTTTCTCCCATCTGAAAGGCCTTTTTTGTAGACCAGTATTTCAGCCCCTATAGCCTGGATTCTTTTCAAATGAAGAAAAATGGATGAAACCAACAGTTCTTTCTCAAGATAAACAAGATTGGTCTTTTCAATTTGTATGAACCATTTTAAATCTGGGTTAAATTGGGGTCACCTATTTCTAAGTGGGGGGGACAGTTTTACATTAAAAGAAAACAACTCAAAAACCATTTGTCCAAACTTTTCCAAATTTTGCATATAGCAACTGCCTCCTGCTGACCTAAAGCTCAGTTTAAAAGTGATAAATTTTTGTTTGGGCTGTTCCCATTTTCAGAATTGCTTCTTAGGCTGGTGATTTGCTGCAGTGCACAATATCACTGCTGCAATCTTGTTCAGCTATAACATTGAGGGAGATTCAGAATTGCCTGATCATATATATGTCACAGTTTGCTCTTTGGATCAGGCCCAACATTTAATATTAAAATGCAAAACGAATCCAGAATCCTATAATTCTAATACATTTATTATGTTCCATTTGACTCAATGTGAAACTTTAGGAAGTTGTTTTCACACTTTAATAAAATAAATGCAGGAACTTTATTTAGCTATTTAACTGAGATCCAATACTATCCTTTCTTTCTCACAAACTTTGATACTGACAAAACTGCAAATGTGTTATTATCTAAACATCGGATTTCAATATTTCAACTGACTATTTGTAGAAACAAAATGACTTGCAAATAATGAACAGATAATAATCCTGGCCATGTCTACTACAGCATATTATGTTCTTAACTAGCAGGATCCCACCATTAAACAATATTCCAATACCCACTCTGATATTTATTTACCTTTCCGCCTGATCAGTAGCACAAGCTCTCTTGTGTGAGACTCTCTGCTGGCTTTTATAAACATCACCACTTGGTCATGTGTGTGCTCAGAGATGTCCCGGCCATTGATTAACACTATCTGATCACCTTCAAGCAATTTTGGAATGCATTTGTCAGACTGCCATAAAGCCAAAGAAAATTATGTCAGTATTTTCAAACCTCTCAATCTGAGAGAAAAACTGAACTTCATTTCAGTGTAACAGAACCAATGACTGGTCAGCAAGTGTTATTCTTTATCTTGAGATTCACTTTTTTCACCAGGAAATGGTTGAAAGGTTTTTACATTTTAAGTTTCTCACTTAAGAAACAAGAAATCCTTCCAAAGTTTGCTTCCATCGGTGTCCACATTGTTCAGATCAGGTTAAAAATGGAGCTGCTCATTCTCCACTAAATCACAGGACAATCCAATTGAGTCCTACAACCTGATATTTTTCTCCAACCCCAAAATTATGCTATAAATACATAAGTGAATGAAACCAAAACCCAAAAAACACACCACCAACAACAAAACTTACTGGAGAGTCCGGTATAATTCTAGAAACCACTAATGGTATCTTCTGATCAATGCCACCCTAAAACATTATACCAAAAAAAGTTAATATAAACAGATGTGCTTACATGGGGGAAAAGTCACTTTTTTTGGAAATACTGTAGAACATAATTTAATTCTAAACATGGTAATCTCTTTCAATTCAGAGAAATAATATTTTAAGAGCTTTTGCATGTATTTTATTTGACCAATCATTATCCTACTAAGAGTTACAGGCTGTTCTTAACTCTGCATCAGAGGCAGACAAGGTGTGACTTTCTATATGTTATTAGACTGCAACTCCTACCAGCCCTTGCCAGACACCACAGCCTAGCAACACGTGGAAAGCCACATTTTGCTCACTGCTGCTTTATATGGGTTTAAAGTTCATTTTTTAAAAACATTGGTCGTGATTTGGATGTAATTTGTATAGAGGTTCTATATGGGTAGTCATAGAAAATGCATAACAAAAAATGTTGAGGCACTTCCACCAGAAAATGATAGCTACAAAGCAGTCCCCTAGCTTTTGCAAGGTATGGAAAGATTATATAGCTTGGAGTAGTACTAACACAGACCAGACATGTGGTACATGATATGTGTTTAAATCATCCTATGTAAAGGAAGAATAGGAGCAAATATACTTCATTTTCAATGTTAATGTTCATTTAAAGGAATCAGAGCAGGGGAAAACCTTTGACCAAAGGAGACGCAAGGTCTCAACCAACACAATAGTGAATATTCCTACTTAAAATCATGAAGACCAACGTTTTTCATAATTACTGACTACATTATGGCATTAACATATCTTAGTAACTAAGTGATGGGAAAATGACCCTCTGGTTTCTCTACTAGAAAAATGAAAACACAGAAGGAAGGAAGGAAGGAACCATAACCATTTTATTGAACTATGCAGTGTGATGGGCAGAAACTGTTGATACATTAACAGTGAAAGCTCATTTAAAAGAGAAGCAGCATGTCTGAATGTTTCCATCTGTTTCCCCGATCTATGCCATAATGCATCATAAAATTACTAAATGAGAGCTGTTTACCTTCAGATTAAATCCAAATTTCCCATTTTCATCTGGCAAGATCCGTATCAAAAGTAAGTTTCCATCAATAACATCATTCTGGAAAATATTGAAAACAGGCATTTGATTTGTGTCACATATTAAGCACTGCACATCTGGCATGGTTTTAGTTATCTTTTGCCTGTGTAACAAGGAAATAAAGCCATGTTCTCCTGCTCACTGGTCATATCCATATATCAGACTAGCATTTGAATAGTTACATGCCGTTGAGTAAAATCTGACTTATACTAGCCCTAGCAGGACTTTCAAGGTAAGTTTTCAGGGCAGGTTTTATCAGTTCCATGCCCCCAATGAATTTTCATGGCCAAGCAGGGATTTGAACCCAGGTAGCCTAAGTCCCAGCCTCTCCTTCCATTCACTACATCACACTTGGGATGTATTTTTAATTCCCATGTACTAAGGATACTGGGAAGCAGAACATCAGTTAAGGCAAGACACAAATATCATTTCATGACTATAAGTCTCAAAATTCTACTTCTTACAAATACAACACACAAAGCGCTAACCTGGCACCCATTATCTCCAAGATGAAGTCTACAATTGTACCCAATTTCAAAACAGTGTGCTAGAAATGACAGGTACAGGATATAGAAGTATGCTGAACACTGGGACCTTTATTTTCTTCACATCACTTTTCACACAGTACTGTCATATATTTCTATCAAATGTTGGTGAAAACCACATTTTCAAAAAAAGATAATTGCTAGTGAACATCTGAGAAGCAGTTCCAAAGATAACTAAAAATCTCTCTCTAATGCTTCCTTCCCTCTTCTCTGTGCCTTGTTAGGTGGTGTTTTTTTAAAATCAGCATCTGTTTCATTTGTAGCTTTATTCAATTTTCAGAGTTTTATAGTGGTAAATAAATTAAGAGTCTTAAAAAACTTACATGCCTAAGCCTCTTATAAGCGTCAGTAGAACTCATAGTTTTCTAGAAGGCACAATCATATGCAACCTCTACTAACACACTATCTACTAACACACTATATGTAGGCTGATTACCAGAAGTAGTTTAACAAGATTTTTTTAAAAAAAAAGAAAAACATTTATTCAAGAGCTTGCTCTAACAATACAGCTTGTATGAGGCAAGCCCAAGAGATCTTATAACAAGGACCTCACATTTTCCTGGAAACATCCTAGGCATGTACAAAGGCTGGAGATGTTACATATTTTGGCTCAGTTCCAAATTGATGAGAATTTTATTGACAGGAAGAGTCAATTGGGCTACTGAAGTTGCTTTGCTTTTACTCTTAAATTAAGTTTTTAACTTCTCTTCATCTCCTTTTCCTTCTCTGGCAAGACTAAGAATACCCCTATTCCTTTTCACTTCCTTTCCATCCTTTTTCTTAAATGCCAGGGTTCAAAATTCCCTTGGATCCAATTCCAATAGATGGCAGCTATCTTTTTCTTATAAACTAAAATATTAATTAGTTAAACAGCTGGGAAACATCTAAACACTCTGAACCTATAATGGGCAGAAGATTCTAAGCAGACACAGAAATAAATAAATAATATTAACAGTAAATTGCTTCATTCATATTTGCTTTGATATTCAATATTTCCACATTAATTATTCCATATTCTTATTATTTCTGTATTTCCCTTTTTAACTTAATCATTCATATCCTAAAGTACTACTACTAATTTAAGTTGCTATTGCTGCTTTGGTTGCTTTGGACTGCTGTGCTAAATTTTGAGCCATTCATATTTCCACATTTTTCATTTTCATTCAAGAAACCACTGAATTCACTTAATTTAAAATGTCAAGTTTTGCCCTATTCAGGCATTACAGTTGAAAGACCAGAGGGCTGAAATCATGATGGGCATGGGAGTGCACAAGGAAGCCCCATCTCTATCTCCCACCACTCCCTCAAGTAAAACCAAACTTTGTGTGTTCAGTACGGAAGTCTGTAGAAGGGCTTATAGGCACATTCAGTCCATCGTGCTTATACGTAGGTGCTGTGCAAACTTTCACATTGAGCACAAAAAAACCTCCTTAACTTCAGGGATAGGAGGATATGGGAATATGCATCTCCGCACGTCCACCATCTATTTAACCTTTAATATATTATGGCCTGGTGCCTGAATAGACCTTCTGTGTTATCTGGACAGACTGTTTCCTACTGCCCCATAGGATCAAAGTAGATAAATTTGGAGTCACAGTTATGAAATATGATTAGTAAATATGGTAATTAGAGATGGGGATGAAGCACCAAAATTGACTTAGCAAGAGGAGAAGGAAAGGGATATAAGTGCTGCATGATCACTTTTATCCCTGCTTTCCCTCTTCTTGCCAAGCCCCATGGGGCTTAGCAAGAGGAGGGGGAAAGGGATCAAAGTGACCCCACAGCACTTTGATCCCTGCTTTCCCTCCTCTTGCTATGCCCTGCGGGGCTTAACAAGGAGAGGAAAAGGGATCAAAGCAATCTCGCAGCCAGGACTGTGCAATTGCTTTGATCCCTGCTTTCCCTCCTTTTGCTAAGCCCCGCAGGGCTTAACAAGGAGGGGGAAAGGGATTGTGCCGTTTACCCCATGGCCCTTGCTTGTTTCACCAAACACAAGGCTCACATGAGTATCCCAACACACCCTTTAACACACGGCCAACAGTTGATCTCTTTATCAACTATATCTCCTATGAAAGACTGAGGTCCATTCAGTACTTAATTTTTAAACAGAAACAGGTTTATTGATTATAAGTTGTTTTAGGAATACTTCTTAAGCACATTCTTAAAGTTACACAAAGCTTCAGTGTTTTACTTTAACCTCTTCTAATACAGGTCACACTCTGACTAATCACTCCTTAAACACTCTCCCTGCCTCAAAAGCCCTAAACTCTTTCTCTGACTGAACTGACTAGACTCTGACTCATCCCTCCCTTCTAGTTTCTCCAGCTCCGCCTCCCAACAGCTCTCATTGGTACATGCCAATAGTCTTCTACCTGAGCCAAAGCAGGGTGATTGCTACAGGGATCAAAGCAATCTTGAAGCTGATGGTGTGTAAATTGCTTTGATCCCTTTACCCCTCTTCTTGCTTTGCCCTGAGGGAAAAAGGGAAAGAAAAAGAGGGAAAGCGAATCAAAGCACTGTGGGGTCACTATGATCCCTATTCCCCTCCTCTTGCCAAGCCCCACAGGGTTTAGCAAGCAGGGATCAAAAGATCACAGACCACTTTGATCCCATTCCCACTCCTTTTGCTAAGCTCCATGGGGCTTAGCAAAAAGAGGGAAAGCAGAGATCAAAGTGATGGCACAACCAATCCCTTTGATCACTTTCCTCCTCTTCTTATGCCACGTGGGCATAGGAAGAGGACGAAAGGGGAACCAAGCCATCCCCCAGTCCCAGGGATGGGATTCCCTTTGGGCACATTTTAGCAAGCCACCTGAATGGAAAGCCCCTCTCTGCTTATGCCCCTGAGGAACAGCTGATACACGAGGGCATAAGCACATGCGGAATGAAGGGATGAATATAAAAGGTTTATATTCATTGCTTCGTATTTGTTGGGGTCTCTGGACCCCAAGAGTACAAAACAACAAATATCTTTATATTCGTCCCCGTGTCTAATGGCAATTCAAGGTCATCAGAACTATATGAAGTAAAAGTGAAATCTGCAAGTTTTTTGTCTCCTAAGCAGAAATGTGGATGTAAAAGCTAATTTAAAACAGTAACTAAAAATGGAACTTGGGTAGTCAAAATACTAAATTCAGTCATAAGCTGAGTTCAGGAAGTACGCAGAATAAAATAAAATATTAAGAGAAAGAGGCATGTTGTCTACACAATGGTCACAGTGGGTTGGATCCAGAGTAAGAATGCAATTCTTAAACACACTCTTTGTGGTATAATTCCAGGTAACCCAGTGAGATTTATTTCTGATTAGACATGTATAGGAATTTACTATTAGGTACTACTGAATTCAACGGGTCTTTATTTAGCCATTACTAAATTTCACACTAATTTCAATATGAGTCCCAACCCAACCAGTTGAGTTTAGATCCAGCCTACTGTAAGAAAAGAACACATTAACTATCTGAAGCAAATCCTAAATGAAGATATCATGCCCTGAACTGATATACTGTATGTTGCCACCATTCTCTACACCTGTATTTGTTATACCAGCACTGCACAACTTTCAGGGCATGCTACCATAGTTTTTCGAGACTAAAGGATGTCTACACTGCACAACATGGACTTTCTGTCTATAACCTTGTTTCTCATACCTTATCAAAGTAGTATTGACTAGAATCCTCCATTAAATGCCCTTTTGCAACATTTTCATTTGTTTCTAAGCACTGTTTATCTATTCCATCGGAGGTAAAGGAACCAGAACGATTGCCAACTCCATTGCTCACTTGAGATGAGGAATTCTGTAGTGACTTATTTTCCAAAATATTCCTACATTAAGAGAAAATAATAAAGAAATGCAACACACACAGGAAACTAATGACAAGTTAATACAGTACCTTGAGTTAAATTTATTTCACATTTCTCTTCCTATGAAAGGACTTCTTTTAACAAGACAGTCACATGATTTTTCAAAAATTCAGTTGTTAGCTTATGATATGTCAATATGTAAGGAAATCTATTTGAACTGAATATATATAGAAAAATATATTCCAACTAAATATGATTTTTTTAGCTGCTACGATCTATAGCACATATTACCTGAACTTTATTCTAATAATTAAAGGAAGTTACTGCAAACAGAGAACCTGCATATGTAATATTAATATGAAGAATGCATTAGGTGTTCACATTTTATTTGTAGTTCTAGCTTATTCTTGGTGGCAGAAGAAAAATCACCACATTTATTAAATATTAAAGGATCATTTTCCCCCAGGAAAAGAGATTTTATCATTCTAAACCTCAAAATTCTATAATCTGTAATTAGCTGACACCTCTCCAATTAAAAATCTGAAGTGTGGCAACCACAATTTGTACCTGAGGCCTTTCAAACTGATCCAACAAACATATCAGAGCTGCAGAATGTTTAATATGCTGAAAATTGAAACACCTGCCCCTTTCCGTCCAGTCTTCAGAATAGCAAATTGTATATTTATGTTGATTTTTGTTCAGAAAAACTGGTGTACACTCTTTAATCTTGTTAAAGAAAGAATTCTTTCACCGGTTTGTGAAGCCCTGTGCAGAAGTCAAGATGCTGAGGGCTTCATACCCTACTAGAGTTGATGGAAGCAAGTACTATGTGATTACTTTAATCCTCAAGATGGAATTTGCCAACAGTTTTCAAAGGGAAAATATTTCATTCTACATGAAATGCTGGTGATATTAGTTACAAAGTGCCATTTTACCAATTCAGAGTACCCAAACTGGAATCACAATGCTGGACAAGCAATTGTGATCTATCTCTTTACCCTCTTGTTTTGTCAAATTTTCTACTCCCTCTCAAAATCACAGAAGATTTTGCTTCAGAAAGTCCTCAGGGGCAGGCATGGTTAGGCATCATCCTTAGCTTCCCAAACCTGTCTTTATGAAATACAGTGGGGTCTTGACTTCAGAACTTAATCCGTATTGGAAGTCGGTTCTCAAGTCAAAAGTCTGTAAGTCAAGTCTCCATTGACCTACAGTGCATTGAAAACCGATTAATCCCGTAACAGGCCGTTTTTGTTCCATTTTGGGTTTTTTTCTGGTCTGTAAGTCAAATCTCAGTCTGCAAGTGAAACCTAAATTTTGCGGCCAGAGAAGTCTGTAACTCAAAAAGTCTGTAAGTCAAGCCGTCTGTAAGTCAAGGGTCCACTGTACTCCAGTCTCAAAGCAACAGGTTTCTAAATTACTGAGTATATTTATTGAAATGACTAACTAAACAGAAAATACACACAGAAAGAATATACACATACTCAGCGAGAAACTGATTCCCTCCTGCTCTTGATGTGACTCTTGCCAGTTCTGTTGAAATACCAGTTCCACTTAGATCCCCCCTGAACAGAAATGTCATCTTTATCATGCTATTATACTGCCAATTTCCAGTGCAATGCAGCCTTGAATTCCAGCGTCATCCAAATATATTTTACTACCTGAGGCACAAGACAAGAGTCCTTTGCTCTTCATTAAACATATAGACGCCGACTAGACTAGCCACTGAGTAACAAGACAACATCCTTCACTCTAAGTTGAGCGTTATTTTAGGAGACACCAGACAGGTTGCTCAGTGCATGAAATACTGTAATCCAGAACTTTATCCTTGCTTTGCAATCCTTAGTATCTGCTGCCTAAGGCAGATGCCTCACTGGCTAATGACAGACCCAACACTTCAGAAATTGTATTGATTATTATTAAACAATTGTTTATTGTTTACATTTACCTTCTCCGTGGGCTGTTGGTTTGGGACAACTCTGAATCACTATCCTTTGAAGCTGTGGAACTCTTATAGGTGTAAAAAACATCTTCTGTTTCCGTTATATAGGAAATCTCATTTGCAAGGTTATCTACAGATGAGTGTCGTGGTTTACGAATCTCATGACGAAGTCTAGGACTCCTCCTTAAAAGAAGAAAGCTTCAGAGTTTATGATAGGACCTTTCTCAAAGTTTTAAAAAGGTAATTATTCTATCATATGATCATATACACATACTTTGGTGTTAGTACCATACTGCCTTCCTAACCATTTATTTCAAGTGAGTATGAATTGGACAAGCCCTCCCTCACAATCACACTCATTAGCAGACAGAAGAAACACAGCAACAGCGCAATCCAGTATATTTATGTTAATGCTTCTACTCAATGGCCGAAATCCTGTTGCTTAGCAGAGTAATTAGTAACTACAGTAAACTCACTGAATCAATGGAATCTAAAAAGTTGATGCACCAAATCCTCACTGATTCAATGAGCCTATTCTAGTGCAACTTACTACACTAAGCCATAGAATTTCAGCAAATAAGACTTACTGCCAGGTACAAATGCATAGGATAAAAGCCCAGGGACAGAAATTTTTACATAAGGCAACTAGTAGTTCAGCATGGGAAAGCAGCTCCTAATTTCAGCCTCTGCACCAACTCTTCCAACAAAGAAAGTGAGATTCCTGCAGTATTAAGCAATGAGTTATGCTAATGAGCGACAAACACACACAAAATGGCTGAAAGATGAACAAGAGAACTCCTCAACCCCATCAATGAAAAGCATGGTGTACTGTTGCTATGACTGGGATTTCTGGGTTCAGTTGTTTGGAGTCTGAAACCCTACAAGGAATCTTGCCCTCAGAAGGGAGAAGTATGAAAACATCATTCCCAGGTATCTGACCAGCGATTCCATGTGTATCTGGAAAAATAGTGTCAAATTTATCTATGTGTGTTTCCCATATGACAAAGATTCTAAATTTTGTTAAATACCACTTTGAGATTGAGAAGTGAGTTGAGTGGAACCTATAGTATTTAATGAGAATTCTGTCTCACTGCAGGATGAGGAAATTAGATCTTCTACAAGACCAATAAGAAGCAAAAGCAGAAACATGTAAGTTTGGCTTTTGTTAGCATTTGTCATTTCTAAAGATAAGCTTTTCAAAGAAAGCCTGAAAAGGGAAATGAAGGAGCTGTCATAGAGAAAGTTCAGAAATTCCCCACAGATTTGGAAGCAAGGTCATGTTAAAAGGCATAACAATAGATGAATAAGACAAAATCAAAGACCATGGCAAAAACCTTGAAAAACATTCTCAGAGGAAAAGTCTGTTGTGAGATGTTGTTTCATTTGCAATTAACCCCTACAAGTTCTCCATTCTCCCTTGAGGCCCATGATGCCTCAGACCTTGTGTGGAAGGATTCAGACCAGCCATTCTCCATGGGGGTCTATGAGCCCTGGAGGGGTTGGGGTGGCGGCATTGTTGAAGGAGGCCACAGACTGCAAAAAAAATTTCAACCTTATAAGGTTCATTATGTGAGCTATACAAACTTGATTAGGCCTACATTTCTTTCATATTGTGTTTATGGCCATGGCTAAAACAAAGATTGAGAATGACTGATTTAGACTATGAGAGTGATGACCAACAGATAAATTCTGCAGAATCTTCTCCTGTAAGAGGATCATGGGTGACTTCAAAAGGAGGCATACCTCCAAAGCTTACTAGACTTCCTGTAAGGAATATGGGCAGATAGAAAGTCAACCTCAATTTATAAGATGACAAACAGGTTACTTACCTGTAACCGTGGTTCTTCAAGAGATCATCTGTGAATTCACACATGTGGGTGTTTCTGCATCTGTTTGAAACTTCTCAGAACATTTTATAGTTTTAAGAAAAATGTTAAGAGCAGACTCCCAGTGAAGATGGTCCTAAGTCTAGTGGTAATGAGGGGAGGATGGACAGCTTGTTTGAATTCACAGATGATCACTTGAAAAACCACACTTACAGGTAAGTAACCTCTTCTTCTTTATGGTCTCAATGAATCACACATGTAGGTGACTGACAAACTCACTTACTGGCTGGTGGGATGTCATGCCAACAGAGATAAAAGGACCATACTTCCAAACACACCATCAAGTTTTGCCCTGACATCCAGTCAATGTTTGATGAATATTGAGGAGTCGGACCACATTGTAAATGTCTCGTAGCTGGATTCCTTTGAGAAAGGCTGTAGCGGCTGCAACAACCCTAGTGGAGTGTCCCTTCAGAGACCCAGGGAAAAGTTTCTTTGCCAGCTGGCAATACAATATGATTGTTTTCACAAGTCACTCTGATAAGTGATGGGGAATTATATGTTCTCCTATCTTTGACCCCTGATTACTAAACAAATCACTTGTTAGACTTCCAGAAGTGTGTAGTTGTTGCTGTATAAAAAACTAGGGCTCTACATACATCTAAAGCATCAAGTGCTTTTTCTAGTTCTATAGTAGGCAGTAGAAAGAAAATTGGGAGGATGAGAGGCTGATTAAAGTAAAAGTCTGATACTATCTTAGGCAGGAAGGATGCATCAGGAAAAATGATATTTTTATCCCAATGGAATTGCAAGAAAGGTGGGTCATGTTGGAAAGTGCACAATTCACTTGCTGTCTGTGATGTGGTGATAGCGACCAAGAATGCCATTTTGTATGCAAGAAGTCTTTGGTCTGCCATGACCATCTGCTCAAAAGGTGATTTTGTGAGCTGAGTGCTAGTGAAAGTCATCACTGAGGGGGTTTGCTCATTCTGATTTGAAATATGTAGGCTTTGGTTCCTAGGGCAGTCTTCTGGATGCGGGCTTCCCTGCATCAGAGACAACTAACACAAGGTGTGCTGGGTAAGCAGACTCCACTCTGGATACTGGCTAAAGGCTGGAGACAAGCTTGGTTCTGAGACGTTTCCACCTCAAAAGTTGACCTGAAACACACCAAATCCTCCTGCAGGCTGAATAGGGGAGACTTGTTGCCTGTTCTTTAGATTGCCAGGGCAGGGTGGGGGAAGCAGATTGTTCTGTGGATCTCTTGGGCTTTTGCCTCAGCAACAGTTTCTTTGCCACAGCAGAAGCTGAGTCCTGAAAATTCTTTTATCTTTTTTGACACTGAAGGAGAGGTCAATTTCGATGCCAATGTTGCACTCAATGAGGTGTATTTCAGTGCAGATGGTGCCCTCAGTGTCAATAGTACATCATCGGTATTGAGAAATGGTATCTGCACCATCTCAACTTCCCTTGATCCCTGGTCATCTTAGGTTTTGATAGTAGTGGAGTATTAATGGAGCACTTCATGGTATCTGTAGGACATCCTATAGTCAGACACTGCTGGAACTGAGGCTGTTTGCTAGTATAAGGATCCTATCACCTGCAATGACTTATTCCAGAGGTAGAATTTGAAGCGGGATTTTCAGCTTTTTAAAATGGTGATCTTTGTCAGTTTGCGACAAAACTGACAATTTTGAGTTTGCTGCCCCTCATCAAGGCAGCACAAACACTTGAAATGTCCATTGGTGAGGGGAATCTTATTGGCACACTTCTTAAATGGGCTGAGCGGGGCCATAAAAAAAGGGGAAAGCATTAAATACAACAACTAATAACTAATACTACTACTGTTATTTTAGTGGTCACTTACAGAAAGAGATGAATGGGCTGATTATGAAGATGAGGTAAACAGGGAAAGATATTTAAACACAGTAAACAAGATAAGCTGTAGAGAAATGCTAGGCAGACGGTATGCGAACTGATGCGGGGGCTGCTCTGGGACTGGTCTAGGATGTTCTGACCAGTTTCATGCAGGCACAGAAACACCCACGTGTGATTCAGAGATCACAAAGAATAAACATGTACAGTGCTTTTCTGACATTCTTATTTATTTATTTAT